TTGGTTACTACCCCTTCTGCCCCCTATGTATAATATTGAAGGGGTAGATAATATATGATATATATATGGTTGCTATTAGTTACCACCCCTTCACCCCCCTATGTATAATATTGAATGGGTAGATAATATATGATATATATATGGTTGCTATTAGTTACCACCCCTTCCCCCGCTATGTATAATATTGAGGGGGTAGGTAATATAGGATATATATATGGTTGCTATTAGTTACCACCCCTTCTCCGCCTCTATGTATAATGTTGAACGTGTAGATAATATATTATATATATATGGTTGCCATTGGTTACCACCCCTTCACCCCCCCTATGTATAATATTGAAGGGGTAGATAACATAGGATATATATATGGTTGCCATTAGTTACCACCCCTTCTCCTCCCTATGTATAATATTGAAGGGGTAGATAATATATGATATATATATATGGTTGGTATTGGTTACTATCTCTTCTTTGCCCTGTCTAGTGAATGTATGATTAGGATAGTGTATCTAATAACTATCATGTGACAGTAGCATAGGAGTTAGATTGATGTGTTGGCATGCTTCTGGGATTAGGTGAGATGTTTGGGCATCGCCTGTTATGCTTGGGGATCATCTGGGATGCCTGCTGCATCACCTGGGATGGTTGTAAAATTACGTGGAATACTTTGGGCTTCATCTGGGATGGTTGTTCGGTCACCTGGGATTGGTGGGCCCTCACCGTGGATGCTTGGGCCAGCACCTAGGATGCCTGTGCCATGCGCTGTGTTGCTTGTCCATTAGTTGGGATGCTTGGACCATCAGCTGCGATGCTTGGGTAATCACTGGGGATGCTTTGGCCATCTCGTGGAAGGTTGGCGCATCAGCTTGTAGGTTGCTTTAGCCATCGCCTTAAATGGTTTGGGAAACGCCTTGAGTGCTTTGGGCATGACTTGGGATGCTTGAGCCATAATCTAGCATGCTTGGGATGTCACCTGGAATGGGTGGAGCATCTCGTGCGATGCTTGAGGCATCACCTTGGCGATAAAAATTAATTATAAGTTTTTTGCGATAACTTCGAAACTACCCTAGATTTTATTCTTTCAAGTTTATGGCATGTCATGGAAGATTAGACAGGAAGCTTTGTAATGCAGGGGGTGAATGTAAAGGTCTGAAATAATTTATTGCGGCTATTGACACCATTTCATGAAAATCTTTTCAACGCTCTTCGCTTCATTGGCTTTTTTCTTCAAGTTGATGTCGCTTGGTCATAAATTTTGATTTAACTTTCCCACCCCATACCCCAATCATTCTCAAAAAAAATACAATCCCCCCCCCCCCCCCCGGTCTTCATGTTTTCATCACTCTATACATGGTTTTATTCATAGAAGACCAACAATTTTTTCCATGTTTTTGTAACTTGCACTTTTTCGGGATGATTCTTATATGTAATCTAGGCCGCGGATTATTATATACTTTTATTTATTTTTAAAGCAAAAAACATTATTCAAACAACACATTATTCCTATTTCTTTGTCTTTATTAACTTCATCTCTCCACTTTTATTCTTCATCTTA